GGTCCCGGGCTGGAGCCGGGTAGAGGTGTGTGCGTGCGCGTGCGTCGGTGTGCGGGCGCGCGCCCGTGCTTGTGTGTGTGTGATGTGGAGGCAGGCCCCGGCCGCGGCCCGCGCGGAGACCCGGCGCGCCCCCTGCAGGCAGCTCGCGCCGTTGGCGTCCCCGCCCGGATCGGGACCCGCCTGCGGTCTGGGGGCCTGACAGTCTCTCCTGGACCAAACTCCGCTCGGGCTCCTGTGAACTCTCATCTGGGCCCTGCGTTTGGAGCTTCCCTGCCCCTCTCTGCACCGTCCAGTTTTAGCAAGCATCCTACCAAGTCATTTTAGCCAGGACCCCCATCCCCAAACCTGATCGCCCTCCCATTTGGGAGGGTTCCTTGTCTTTCACCATCTTGCAGGTGATGTCTGATCACCTAGATTGCCTTCAGCAAGAATCCTGGTGCTGAGTTTAGCCAGAGCCCTCCTCCTCACCCATCCCCCTTACCCCTGGTGTTTCCTCTTAGCAACTTTCCATCCACTGACCCCACCCTGCTCCTTGGCTATAAAGTCCCTTTTCCTTGTTGTATCCAGAGTTAAGCCTGATGGCTCTCCCCTGCTACAAAACCTCACTGTAGTACCCGCCCTTGAATAAAGTCTGCCTTGATATTTTTAACAAGTGTCATGAATAATTTTCTATTTAACAGAATATTTTTTAACAGTCCCCAAACATGGCTCCATTTGAGGTGTGCTAGTCGGACTTTATCCTGGGCCCCCCGAGTGAGAAATTAGGGTGAGGGGAGGAGGGTCTGCATTTTTTAAAGCTCAGGATTCCCACAGGAATCAAGGCCAACTCTCCCTACTGGGGGTCCACATCCCAGGGGGAGGGGGCACAAGGTGAGCCCCTTGGGTGCAGGAAAAGAAATTAAAGCCTCTGTTTGTATCTGTTATCTTAAAGGAAGTAGGTGTCACTAACACTGAACATTCAGATTGGTGGCCAGGTGCTCCCTCTTGGAGTGGGGCAGCTCCACAAAGCTTCCCAGGTGGTCTGCGTTCAGCCTGGTTCTGAGCACTGCCGTGGACACGTGGAGCTAGCATCTAGTTTTCGTTAAAATCACACTCAGCTTACAGCAGGCTAAAAGAGGCCAGCAAAGAAACCCCCAGGTCACAGACATGACAAAAAACACAAGCATAAGCTGTCACAGGTGAACCTTCTCCTGCCATACTTTGAAGTAAAAGGATGATCAGAACTGACCGTCTGGCCCCCAAATGTGAAATTACCAAGGCAGCCCTTTTAACTGATTTATAACAAATCCGCTAATGGGGTAATGAGTCTCCATACATTAGAGGTGCACAACAGGGGAGCTCCATCCCAAGCTTGGGGACTCCGGACCCTGAAGCTCTCTTCCAGCTGTGTGGTACTTTGGGTTTCTCTAAAGCACTTTCACATGCTGGGCCAGAAACGTTTAGCCCAATCAAGGCTTAAGGAGATAAATCCATGGTTTCAAGTCATAAAACCAACCCATCGTACACTAGGGTCGTCTAGCTGCAGGCTGAACCTGGACTCTGCCTCCAGTCTTTTCCGGAGGGCAACACCCGGGGCGGAGGGTGGGGGGAGCAGGCCCTACTTCTCTGGTCCCACAAAAAGTGTTAGAACCTCTCTGACTTCCAGGGTCCTCTGCTCTCAAGCTGTGAAGCATCATTTTGTTTTGTGAATAAAGGAACAGAAAATACTTGTTCTTAGTCCCTACAACCTCTTCCATTCGCCAGCTAAAAAATGAGGTCTGAGAAACAGGAAACCTTTGCATCTGCGTGAGCAGCTTTCTGTTTGAAGGGAGAGAAGCCCAAGCGGGGACAGAAAACTTGAGCTGTGGGATCTGGACAGGCTGGAGTCAACAGCTAAAGTGCTTTGAAAGCCGTGTTCCCAGGCCCAGCAGAGGTGATAAGCATAGAGCAGACAGGTCAGAGGACAGAGAGAGGGAGGCC